GCATATGAGTCAACTACTGTGAAGTCAGTTCAGTTGTCCTGGTCTATAGACATTCACAACATTCAGAATAATCAGCATCCAATAGACTCCACTTCTGCCCAACATTATAGAAAAATAATACATATTTTAAATAAACTAAATGTAAACATGTATTATGTGGTAAGTAAAATCAGTCCTAGCTTAATATTAGTCAACCCGTTGGAGGACAATTTATAATAGAAACTCAGGCATTTTTAAAAAGGGAAATGATTACTAAATTTTATCTGCACTATATCTCGTGTCTGTTCTTGAACACTGTCAGTATTCTAAGAGGAGAATTTGTACCCTTTAGAAGAACTGAATTAATAAAACCAAGCAAAAATAGGTGTTGTTATAGCACTGGTTTCACTACAGTTTCTAACACTGAGTTACAAAAAAGTGATAAAAGATGATTCTTTTTCATCTTCTCATGTATGCATAATTCTATTCGACTTGAAAGTTCTCTTTAAAGTTTACATAACATGTCTCACCAAAAACCAGGAGTATACTGCAGAGATTTTTTAAAAGCAGATCTATATACACACTTATTCTCTTAAGTACTGATATTAAAAGCCTGATGTATATGCTTGCATGCTTTTTCTCCATACTCAAGAAGCATACCCTCATGTAGGAAAGACTGGTTTTGGTAGCACAGAGAGGTTGGAAGTGGGGAGAATGGTTTGAATGGGATTGTACATACACATTGAGGTGAAGCCTCTTTTCTCAGTTGGTAACATACTATGGACATCCTTCTAGTCAATTTCTACACATCTAACTAGCTTTAGATTTCTTGCCTAATATAGACAAACCATAATATATGCAGCCATTCTTCCACTACTGGAAGTTCAGGTTTATTATTTTACTAATAATTGTACAACAGACAACTTTACTACGCATGTATTATTGCGTGCTGGTGCTTTTATTTCTCTAGAGTGGGTAGACTCCTACCAGCTGAATTCCTTGCCTTACAACAGTGTATTTAAGATGTAGTGTTTAATGCCTTTTTGCCTGGAACTTGCTATTAATCTCAGCAGGAATGTATGCCCATTTCCTGACAATTACAACCAGGATTGAACTTTTTTGTTAAATTGGGTAAAGAAAAGTGTGCCTTCAATTTGCATTTTTTCAACTGCCAGAGAGGTTGAACTTCTATGATGCCTCAGGATCATTTGAGTTTTATATCTGTGAATTATTTTTATCTATTC